GGCTGCGACAATAAAAATTAAGGTTCATCAAAATGTTTAATTATTTGAAATACGGAGGAAAAATATATTTATTATTTAAATAAAAGTATTGGAAATACTATTTTTTAAATAATAACTCATCTTGATCTCAAAAGAAAGTTTTAATAATAATAAAATATTAAAATAATGCCTCGTTATCCTTGCTATTATGAAAAGAAAAAATAATTAAGTAATAAAATAATGTCAAAATCTATTTAAAAATAAAATAAAAAAACATAAGTTCTATATTCATTGAATATTCATGAACAAGTTTTTTTTTCACATTAGGCTTGTAATAATCAAAAAAGAAAATTTTAACATTTCCATAACAATATATAATGTTTTTATAAAAATTATGTCAAAATTGAACAATAATTTTAAGTATTATGCTAGGTATTTTATTTATAGTGTATTTCAACAAAAACAAATCATATAAAATATTAGGTGTTTAGGTATAAAAGATTCGGCCAAAACATATGGCCCGATAACGGAAGGTGTAGAGCTTATGGACATGCAAAGCTAAACCCGAGTGTCTAATTCCTTTTATTATTATTTTTTTCTATTTAAAGGCATCATTTTTTTAAAAAATAGACAATATGTTTATTTGTTCAATTTTTAAAAATAAAAGAGATAGTTGGAAAATCAGGTTATGTTTCTAGAAATATAAAACCCATTTTCAACCTAGCTAAAAGTTCATGATAAACATTTTAAGAAGCTAAATAAACTTTTATAACTCTAAAACACAATTAAATAGTTTTAAAACTCAAAATTAAAATGAAAGAACTCTCTCTCTCAACCCCGATCCATATTTTTCACCCATACAAGCATATAAATATTTATTTTTAAAAATAAATAAAAATAACATCAATGAGTTTTTATCATTTTTTTTTATATAAATGTTGAGTTCCAGACAGGTTAATGTGTCCTCTCATTTTTAGAGGTTGACATAAGCCTAACATGTTTTAAAAAGAAATCCTTTAAACAAATTCAATAATGAGTCAATGCGTTGTCATTAAGTTAATGTCATGTTTTGAAAACTTGAATTTTAATAGCTAGGTCATTGTGCCTTCTAATTTAGAGACTGATGTGAACTTAAGATGATTGTTGCGATGTCGCGGTCGCATAAATTAATTACCCTATGTTAAAACACAACACACAAGGTAGTATAGAGCAAGTAAGGGGTCGATCCCACGAGGAAAATTTTGTTCAAATTTTTATGCTATATGTTATGCAATTTTTTTTTTTTGGGGGGGGGTTTGATTTATGATAATCTAAAATATAGAAAAAATTAAACTAGCAAACAAAATCAATTGAAACCAAAATTTATTAAGAAAACAAACCTTGGTCACAAGCACACATCCACCAACGAAATTTAGAACCAATCCTTGAAATGAAACTATAATTTATATTCTAAATTTTTATTTTTTATTAATGTTGGTTAATTAACGGATCCGCCGTATCACTAACCCTAATCAGCAAACAATCACAATATCCGCATTAATGATTTAGTTCAATGACTGCCCTAAAAACTAAATATTTGAGTGTTCTCCTTAAGTTTAATAATTTAGCTCTGCCACAATTATCAAGTTTAGTTGCTTCACAAGTTTATATATCACAACTTCGATTTTGATATCAAACTTAACAATATATTGTTCATAATAATAACTTAAAATCCGCTTAAGCAATTATCAACAACTATCATATAAAATATGCATAGAAAAACAATCATACTCATTCATAATATAAACTAAAAATAAAAAGAAGAATAAATCTCACTATTCTTGAAATTCAAAGGTTTTTTGTATCCTTACAACCAAGAAAAGAGTTTAGCTTTGCATAACTATTAAACAACTACTTCTAAAGAATAAAGAGAGCATGATTTTTAGGTTTGTGGAGGAGAGAATTTGTGTTTATTCTCTGTTGGTTGCTGCCTCCTTCTACTCTCCCTCTTTTTTATTGGCTACGAGCCCCTTTTCTCTTTCTTTTTATATACTAAGAAACCCTAGTCTCTATTTTACAAAATTGTCCTCCCTTAAGTTGGCAGTTTACATTTAAATACTTTAATAACTATTTTTCTTAAAAAGAAGAAATAGCCTTGCAGGTTTAGAAGCTTCGAAATGTAATTTGGACTCATTTCTTCACGAAACCTGATTGCTGGCAGAATTCAGTTGTCATCTTTGAAAAATCATATCTCCCTCATAGGACATCGTTTTTGGCTGAAATTTTGAGCTTTTATAGACTTTGAGTCATAAATCCAAAAAAATTGAGTTTGTATCAATTGGACTTCTATAACTCCAAATGTTGAATTTTGAATGAATAAAGGTCAACAGTGGCAGAATGCGAGATTTGACTTTGAAGGATGTGATTTCCATGATCTTTCCCTTTTTATTTTTCTTGCATTACATTTCCAGAAAGGTATTGATGTTAGATTTTTAGTGCCATTGAAATCATTTCATTTCGATTTCTAGAACTCACGCTCTACACAACACATCGACTAAACGTCAAATCTGTCAATTACCTCTAATTTACTTCTTTTTGCATCTTTTATCCAAAAGTGCCTTCAAAATATAAAATAAAGACTATCAAGGTATTTTATATATAAAACATGGACAAAACATTAGGTAAATGTGGGTGAAACTATCAAATAATATGGTTACATCAATAATGCTTTTAGGACAACAATGAGGTCACCAATAAGTTCACAAGTCCCCTGAAAATAAGGAATGACGTGGGTCGAGGTTAGTATTTTGTTAAACTTTTAATTTTTTGTAAAAAAAGTATTAACTTTGTTAAATTGTTTTTAAATTTCATCCTTTGACGTTGTTGATTAGAGATAGAGTTTGACAATTTGTTTTGTTTGATTTTCATCAAGTTATTATGGAATTAAAAAAATCCTTCCAATATTATGTTAGTGCTTGATTTGCAAAAAAAAAAAAAAGGGTTTGATTGACTATTTTTTAATTTCATACTTGCACATTGCATTGATTAAGAATTAAACTTGATAAATTATTTTGATTTGTTTTCTATAAGATTACTGTGGTATTAAAAAAAAAATTAATATTGAGTTGATGCTTTATTCTAAAAAACAATTTTGGTTTGATTGTTTTCAAAAAATTAAAAAAGAAGGGATCAAATTTGACAATGAATAAAAAAATGTTTTTTTTTGTTAACTGTTCATTTGTGCCTTATTTGAGATAATAGCATATACTTTTTTAAACTTCACTTTTCATTTTTTTAGTTTGAATATTTTAACCTTTGTTCCAAAACTTTATTTTTTTATTTTTTATTTCATATATGAATCCCTAAGTTTGAGGATGAGGAGAAGAGAGTGGATAGTTGAAAAATAGCAAAGATAACATCATTAAATGATCACATTCCAAATATAAAAAATATCAATTTTGGAGTTAATGATTTTTATTTTGCAAGGAGTGTTTTAACCTTAATCTTGCATGAAAAAAATAGATCGGGTCTTGAAATTTTTTTTCAGATTCGAGCTAATTTGTCAATTTTTTAATTAAAATTTTGCTAATTGAATGCTATAAATAGGTTTATTAAGGTATCTAGATTATTTCTGAGGTGTTTTCGGGCTAAAAGATTTTTTTAAAATTCCTTGTCTAGTTTAAAAAATGGAAGGCCTAATTTCTCGATTGGCTAAACTAGTTCATGATGAACTAGAAATGACATGTCGTTTTTTTGTGCAGCCAACATGTTGTTCGTTTGTTTGTTTATATATATATATATATATATTGTTTTAAAGGATCCAAGTATGTTGAGCCACTCTTACCAACACACCTAACTTTTCTGTGTTATTTTGTTTTTTTTTTAAATTTTATTCTTCAAAATTAGGGTTTTTTTATTTTTTATTCTTTAATATTTGATTTATTTTGAATTTATCTCCATAATTTATTTTGATTTTTTGTGAGTTTATCCTGATTTCAATCAAATGTCTTGGAATTTGGTTACTGATTAATTTTTTTAGTGTCTATTTTTGTTGTTGTATAATTAAATAAAAAATAATTTCAGACAAAACAAAATTATGAAACCATGTGGAGTTTCCGGATTACAAGTTTAATGAGTTAACTTGAATTGATTAAGAATTTAACTTTATAACTTGTTTTATCATTTTCTATAAGATTATTATGGTCTCAAACAAACATCTCATCATTGAATTAATATTTGAGTTTGCAAATATTTATTTTTTATTTTATAATTAAATATAAAATAGTTAAAAAAACAAAGTTATTAAACCTATTTGATTTCATGATATAGGTTGGTGGTTTGTCAAGTTATCTTTGGATCTATTAAATTATTTAGATCACATCAAAATAAATTTTATTTAATTTAATTTGAAATTTAAATCAAATAAAAAATTAAGTTAAGAGATTTAAAAGATGATCGGTCATGTTAAGTTTAGTGACGTTACCAAAAAAATCCCCTGCAACATAATTTTTTTTTAATTTTAAATATAACCCTCATTATGTTTGAATTAATTACCGTACTCAATATATTTATCAGCATACCACTTAATAATAAGAATGACCCTGCTACAATTTAAAAATAAAAAAAATTTATAGTACTCAAAAAATAATTTATAATATTCAAAAAATAACCCTTAATATTTTATTAGTTATTTCTTAGATTAACTTTGAAGAAAATTGCATATACAAGGGGGAAAAAACTCATAATCCACGGATATGTAAAGATTCTATCTCCTAGTTATATTATAAACATAAAATAACTAATAAAACACTACTACAAACATAGTAAAATTTCTCAATAAAATTTGCTAATTCTTGCTAACAGAATCTGACGCATAAAAAAATATCTTAACAGAAAGCAAATATTTATATTATTTGTTTTTCTATTTTTAATATCACAAAAAAAAGGGAAGGCAAAGCAAAGCAGCTACAGAAAGGGCAATGGAAGTTCTTTTCTGCATTAACAAAAACCAGCACTTGCAGGAGCGAATCACCCATACCGCCTGTTCTCTCTCTCTCTGAAACCATTCTGTTCTCTGCTTCTTGTTCATAAACTTCTCATGCTTCTTTTGTGGTCTGTATTTTCACTACTTCTGTGACCAACTTTGATGTATTCTATACCAAAGGAACATGACTACATAGGCTTCTCAGAGACTCCTTCAATGGAAAATATCTCTGAAAAGCTTTCCTCTTCCTCTACTTCCTCCTCTACTCTCTCAACTGAAGAGAAAAACAACAGCAGCAACAACAAAAATAACAATACTTCTCTCAACTTGAAAGAAACTGAGCTTAGGCTTGGCTTGCCAGGGTCTAAGTCTCCAGAGAGAAAACCAACAGTACCTGCAGCTGGGGTGTCTCTTGTTGGAAAAGATATTGACACCAACAACACTAATGCTTATTCTCTTATCCCAGCAAAGAATCTAGTGTCAGGAGCCAAGAGAGTTTTCTCAGATGCCATTGATGGGTCTACTGGGAAATGGGTTTTCTCTGGTGGTAATGGATCTGAGGTTGATTTGAGTAAAGGAGCTGTTCTGTTCTCTCCCAGAGGCGATAATGGTAACCCCCAGAAATCTCGGGTAGCAGGACCTGCGAAGAAAGATGTTGCTCAATCTCAAAAGCCAGTTCAAGAGAAAAACAGCCAAGTGACTGCTGCAAATGAGAATAGCAGTGCTCCTGCTGCAAAGTAAGCTGGCGTTGATTGCCTTTCTGCTTTTGGAGTGGTTTTCTTTGTTGGGTTGTCTTTTGGCTCGATACTTTGTGTTTGTTACTGTGGCCAATATTTAATTGCTGTCCGAATTGTGGATAGAGGAAGCAAATCAAACCATTAGTTCCAAGAAAATGCAGCTGTGAGCAAATCAAACTATATTAGAATTTTTTTTTTTTGTTGTCTTGAGAAAGATAAATGGAATCATTAACCTCAGCTTTAATCAGAGGGTTTCCTACAGCTCAGTTGAGTGTAATTAACTTGGTTTTTTGGGGGACCTAGGAATGAAAGGGGTGATCTTAAACTTTGATTCCTTTTTCCCTTGCTAATCTTGTGCTCCTTAGATTTATTTTCTTGAAAGTTTTGTCTTTTCCTTCTTAAATATTGTTCATACTGATTTCTGGTTGGATTTTTTTTCCTTTGAAGGGGTTGATGGCTGTATATTGCTTCATGTTTAACTTTTTGTTTATGCTGTCGCTGTTATGGGATATTTATCATGGTTGAAACTTGTATGTTGAGTTTATATTTTACTCCCATATAATAATTGAGAGGTACTTGCATAAATGGTTGAAAATAAATAGTGGGTTTGTGGAGTTTCTGCATGCAGTTTATTTCTTCATTTTCAGGCTTGATTTTTCTTTCAATGAAAACGGCGTTCACCTTTTCCTTATCTTGTCTTGGTCAATCATATCTTTATGTGTTAGGGTAACTTTGATAAATTGCTGATCCAAAAGTTTCTATCACAGGACACAGGTGGTAGGATGGCCACCAATTCGCTCATTCCGGAAGAACACCATGGCCTCTAGTTTGGTGAAGAACAATGAAGATGTCGACGGCAAATCAGGATATGGTTACCTGTATGTAAAGGTTAGCATGGATGGTGCTCCATACCTTAGGAAGGTTGACCTTAAAACTTACGGCAATTATGTGGAGCTCTCATCTGCTCTTGAGAAAATGTTTGGCTGCTTCACCATTGGTACCCTCTCTCGTTCCCTCATGCTTTCTCTCCCTTCACTTGTAGGGTTCACAGGCAAAACTTCTGTAAAACGTTACCTGCTCTATTTTTGTATGGTCCAGAAAATAGAGATGCTTAACTCATAATAAAACTCAAGAAAGGAGATTTTCACTTGTCAGAGGCACTGCCTATAATAATAAAACTCAAGAAAGGAGATTTTCACTTGTCAGAGCCACTGCCTATAAGCTATGCCAAAGGATTTGTGAGGAATTAATGATTTTCTCGTGTTATCCTGTTGTAATGAACCAGTTCCATAACTGGGAATTGGAATTTTATGGTTGATTGATGGTCTTGTTCCCTTGAAAAGATTAATGAAATTGCTATGATTATATCTAGCCCTCTGCAATTTTAAGATTACTCTGTAATTAAACTAGGTTGCCTTACGATATATACACCATAAGTTGGTCGAAGTTGGAGGTTGTTGACTCATGTTTATTTATGAATGATTCAGGACAATGTGGTTCTCATGGGCTTCCAGCGCGAGATGGCCTAACTGAGAGTTGTTTGAAGGATCTACATGGTTCTGAATATGTTCTCACATATGAAGACAAGGATGGTGATTGGATGCTGGTTGGTGATGTTCCTTGGGAGTAAGTGTAATCCACATCTCTTTTACTTCAAGAGTTCTGCAATCAATTCCTTGGATGATATGTTTTTCACGAGATGAAATTGCAGGAATTGTTCTCTGAAAACACACTAGGGTTTGGTTAACAGAATTGAACCTAAGTGTTTTGAAGCTGAATTATAGTTGATCTGATCTCTGAAAACACACGAGGCTTTAGAATGTATCATTCAAGATCAAAATCCTCTCATCTGATACCTAAGTATCAAACCATTTATTGTCCTCCATTAGCTGCAAATTGTTCTTTTCTAATTTTACTGTTGTTTGCTGTGACAGCATGTTTACCGACTCATGCAGGAGATTGAGGATCATGAAAGGTTCAGAAGCAATTGGACTTGGTAGGTCTACCAAGTTTTGATGCTACATTTAGAGCTTATAATATATGCTCCTCCAATTTTTTAAACATGGCTGAACTCTTAGCCTAAGACTCCAATAATCCATTATGGTCTTGATTTTATTTTTTCGGATGCAGGAACCAAATTGGATGATCTAACTAATTTTTTGTTTGTATGTCCATTACCTGAACATGTATGCGTTTGTCTTGAAATTGATTTTTATCTATCAACTTGTTTGCAGCCCCAAGGGCCATGGAGAAATGCAAGAACCGTAATTAATGTGAAGTGATGAAGCTTCGGAAGGATGTTTTCTAGATTTTAAGAAAGCCTTATGGTGTGTTCAGGTGATGAGCGCTTCGCTCATGAAGCATATGTTTGGAGAGTTTATAAGATCGTAGTATTTAGTGAATGAAAAAAAAAATGAGAACTTTTTACTAGATTGGATGTCATTGAGCATGCATCCAAGTTATTTTAAGCTTGTTTAGCTTCCTTGTTTCCTCTTAGCTTTTCTTTTTCCAAGTGTACTTTAATGTGTAAATGAATGGATTGCTTGTGGGTAACAAGTCTCTGGCTCTCAATTGTTTATTTACATTTGGTTTGTTGTAATTTGCCGAAATGCTCCTCTTCCTTGGTTGAAGATGTTTTCTCGCAGATTTGCACTGGAACGCCACGCCCACTTCGTCCTAGGAGGTTAGCTAGCATATCGGCTGAACTAAAGCCTGATTTCATTGCATTCACGAGATATTCTGATCATTCATCAGATGGAGCAGGAAAACAATATGAAACAAGCGATGCGGGTTATGCTGGGAACTGTTCTTGGCTCATTTTCTTCGAGAAGAGCGCTACGTTCGAACCAAGTACGGCTTCAATCCCCACAACAACATTTTAATCGATTTACTTTTCAACCCAAACCTGTTTAAAAGCCTTTTGCAATCTTGATTCGAGGTAGCTCCGTAGGCAACTACGTCCACCACGACGACATCTACTGATGGCAAGATGAGAGGTATGAAATTACATTTGAGGCTGTGATGTTGGAAAACTGGCAGTTGTGCCTGGACTGTTCATTAATCTATCAAACAGTGTTGCCAACTGATACTGATTTTTCAGTGCTTGCCGCGTTAAACGAGTTACAGGCTCGTGCCAAAAAGAAGATAAATTCAATAACAGTAAACAGATGGAGATATTAACAAACAAATTGCTAAAACATATCAAAATAAATGTTACAGCATTCGGGCGTAAATCTGAAAGTTGCATCAGCATAAAATAATAATAGTAAAATAAAGAAACAACTAGAAATGCTCAATTTCAACCATGGAGAAAAGATATCAATATTAACAAATAGCGTTTCAGTCCAGGGAAAAACTAAATAAGATCTCTTGCCTATTCTAGACAGCTTTTAAGATTCTTGTTCAGAGATTTCAAGATAAACCATCTGGGTATAACCATTAAATACAGAACGATCAAGTCTACTTAATCCCAGCTGCTGGAACAAGCCATAACGGCCATCTTCAACAATAGGACTGGTAGCACGAGCAGGATCATATCGTGTTTGATGAGTGAGGGAAGGGCCGGCTACAGGAGGGAGCTCCCAGTAAACATCGAGAATCGATTCAATGAACCTGCTGTTCTGAAAATGTTCAGCGTAGGAAATTGGTTTATTACTGTGATTGAAATCATCCCGCATCCAGCCCCCAACACCCCACCATGCTTCATTCGGACCACATAGTTCATCTATACCAACTGCCTTCTCCCAGAACAACTTTCTTTTCAATCTAATCCTAGCTTCATCACTGTCCCTAAAGCAACTATGGCCACCTCCTGAAATTTGTTTAACAAGTGAATTGATCTTTCAGAAAACCCAATTCAATCTCCGACTCACAGTCAGATGCAAATTGCAATAGTATTAAATAAAAAAAACAGGACAAGGGGAGGAAGATTCTTCAATAGAGTGAGTTACAATTTAATCCGAAATATATTTTAAGACACCTCATAAAAAATATCAAATCCAAAGTTGAGAGTCCGATTTGTTTTGTTTAGATCCTGCAGCTAATAAATTTGCAAATCAGGAACAATTGGAACTGTTGGCCAATTTCCATAGCATTCCTAAAACCTAATTATTTTGACACAAAACACTACTCTTTTTTTTGTGACGTTTCACCTCACAGGATGAAAACTTTTGCAGTTCAAGATAACAGAAGAACAATGTTTGCAATATGAATTTCCAGCAAAAGGCAAAGAAAGCAACCACGAAATTATTAGAGCAGAAGGGGACAAACACGCACCTCTTATATAGGACTGATCACATATCTGCCTCAAGGAATAATGATCTCCAGTTCCAGTATCATAATTATCCTCGAACACAAGATGCCGAAAACCAGCATCCAATGCCTGCTTTACTCTGCCCATAAAATCATTAATTAAGTAAAATTGGCAATGAGCAAATTTAGCAGGGTAAAATACACGCATGTGCATAAAATGTGTAGAGGTAAACAGCACTAGCCAGATTGTATGAGTACCTCTTCAATTCATTCTGATGGTCATCGAAAAAGATAAGAACTCGACTGAGATCAGTAATCCCATGTTTTTTCATCATGCTCTTCCAATCAACACTTCCAAAATCTACAAAATCTTTTCCAGCTAAGTATGTGCAGTTACCATCAACATATGCAGGTCCCTTCTTGAGGTACTTCTCAGGATGCCTGGGCGAAAGCGAAATGATAGGTGTGTCTGGCATTGCTTGTCGCAGAACCCAAGTGGAATGCCCCTTAAAAACACCACTCTCAATCATTAGAACTGGCTTCAGCCACTTTGCAATGAACCAAAGCCCAAAGCTGTGGTCAAAACCCATCCCATAAATGTTGTTTTTTATTGGCCGAGTTTCATAAATTGATACAAACTCTTCCAAGCCTTTGAGTAAATCCTTGGATGTCCACTGAACTGTTTTTCCATGTTTCGATCTGCCTTTTGCCAAGGACAAGAATCAAATGGGAGTGGATGATAAGAACTCAAATTATATTCTCAAGCTAAGGTTTGCAATAAACTTGATATAGCATCCAATGCCATCAAACTCAAAACGGTGATTCAGATTAGACAGGGCAAACAAAAATTTCCATAATATCGTGAAAGGAAACAAGAAGATTAAAAATAAAAATAATTCCAAACTCACAAACATTATCATACATGGATTCTTCACCAACTACAGAAAAAACAATGGTGATGAGTTGTTAGAGTTGAGTGCATACGGTAAAACACCAGAAAAAGTTTCATGAAACATGCAGAGGTAGCCATAAATTAGAAGGAAATGTTTTGAGGGTATTAACTAGTTCCCTAGAATATCTAAAAAATTTCAACCATCAACTGAAGTGACAGTTAGAAATAAGCCTTCTGCAAAAATCATCCCCTTTAATTGGAGACTTGGAGGATAAGTTGTGATGTAATCCAAGAAAGGGTTGAAAAAGGAAATTTGAATTCTAGTGTAATTGTCCCTGCTGTCCAGTTTTACGGTAACAATTATAATTCTCAATTCGACCATTGGATCGGGCTGAAAATTTACCTAGAGTTGCCCGTAATATTGTTCTGTGTTGGGGTAAAATTTTAGGTCAATCAGAGTTTTGAAAGGCCTTGCGATATACATCAGAACAAGATGTCCGAATTTTGTTATTTATTTTCTTTTGACTTGTAGACTTTCTATTTGACAAGAATCCTTTTCCTACAAGGATGTTGCATCTTGTTTCTTATTTTGGGAATTTTCTAATTCTATAAGGATCTTTAATGAGTTGCAACATAAAGATTCATTAATGTTCCAAAATCTTTTTCTTCTAAGGATTCCTTATTCATCCTAGCTACGCAAGAAAAGAAGGGCCCAACATAAAACAATCTTCTGGGCAACTTCGGGTAAATTTCCAGCCCAATCCAACGGTCGGATTGAAAATTATGAATATTGCCGTAAAACTAGACAGTACACACAATTACACTAGAATATGAATTTCCTTGTTCAACCTTTTATTGAATCAGATCAAGCAGCATCTTCTCCTACAGCCTCCAAATTCACTGCACTCTCTCTTTATTTCTCACACATGCATGTGGGAAAATCTATCTTCAACATTCCTCCCTTTGTACATGCATCTTTCAGTTTTCACTAGTTGCAGGTCCCTGTCATGTGGGACCCGCAAATACTGAAATTTGAGCAGAATATGCATTAAGGGTTCTTAGTCCAAAACTTTTGGTTTAGTAAATCACTCAAATACCACAATTTTTTCTCTCGTGCACGCACAGAAACAGGAATGCAGATCCTTTTGAGGTAATTACAAGTAGTGAGCATCATTCAGAAAAGTAAACCAGCAAAATGAAGCATTACAATAACAGAGAACATGCACAAGCACAAAAAACAAAACAAAAAAAAAATCCCAACCTTGTGAACTGTAAGCCAACACCTTTGAACAAATCAACCTAGAATTAGACTATTCGTCCCATGCTACAATTTTACAGTTAGCCAATTCGAGCTTACATTCCATAAAAAAAAAAGAAGGAAAACCCCGTTTCCAATTCTCATTTTTACTACAAACCCCCATTTACTGAAATATGCCAAGAAAAAAGAAATTCGATTCCTTTTCATTTTTCATATTTATAATTCCTACATTTTCTCAGCAACCAAAGAGACAATAATCAAACTCAAGATCCATATCTCCTAAATTGCCACTCAATTAACAAAACCCAACCCAAAATCAGATCTGTCGCCAACCCAGATATCCAAATTTACATAGACATCCAGTAATTTCAAATGTATATAAAATTCAGCAATGGAAAAAGGGGGGCGAGAGAGGGAGAGATAGACTTACACCAGGGAACCCCAAGTGATCCAAAGTCTGACTCAAGCCCTTCGAGACCGAAGAACCCGGCGCGAGATCCCGGATCGGAGACACAGACAAAACTCCGGGAATGAAAAGCGAGAGAAGTGATTAGAATGACAGCTAATAAGAGACAGATAAGGAGACAAGCGGTGGGACAGATGCAAAAGTGGGACAAGCGAGAGAGATAATTAGAAGCCAATAAAGAGAGGTTCTGTTTCTTGGTCTTGGAGTCGTCGGCGGAGGCGTCCGTCTCAGCGTCGTCAAGGTGGGAAGTGACACGGCGCGAAGAGAGGACTCGGTCTAGCATATTGGTGGTGGCAGAGGGACTGTGTACTAGAGTGTGCATGGTGTTATGGAAATTGGGATTCAGTTTATGTTTATTTATTTATTACAGTAAAGCTTTAGATAATTACTTTTTAAGTTTAAAGTTTGATCTGACGAAGTGAGATGAAGAATCTGGAGATGTGTGAAAGGATATAACCCTACACAAGTCTCTTCTCTCTGCCTCTCTCTCTCTCTCTCTCTCTCTCTCTCTCTCTCTAAATAGGCTATTGTTTTGTTTGGGAGTCCGATCCAAAATAAAAATGAAAATGGATTAATTTTTTTATTTTATATTAGTTTAATAGATCAATATTAAAAATAATTTTTTAAAAATAAAAAATATTATTTTAATATATATATACAAATAAAAAACATTTTAAAAATAATTATTACTGCACTTTTAAATATTCTCTAAATTAGCACAAGTTTTTTGACTGTGTTTTCATTATGGTTTAAATAAAATAAAAGATAAAATAGAAAAAAATAATATCCAAATTGTTAAGAATTTTTTGACATTATGATTAAATTTGGTATAACAAACATGGAAAAAAAAGTTTTTTCTTTAAAAATATTGATTTTCTTTGCTTAATAGCTGTTTAAAGAAAATCTCTTACCTTAAATAAAGATAGAACCATTTATTTATAAGAGAAACTAATAGAAAAATTAAAAATCTTCAAGTCTTATAATTATTGATTTTTTGAAAGATTGTCTGATGTAGCTATTTACCTTGTTTCTCATTACCAAAAGTTTTTTTCATTGTATTTTCAAGTGGAGGAAAATATGTCTTCTTATGCCGATGTAAATCTTTGCATTAGGAGATAAAGGACCAGGAGAAGATGGTCATAAAGGCCTTAGAAAAAGAGAAAAAAAAATTAAAAATAGGCCATCAAGATTTTTGATCTCGAAAAACTCTTTTTTCACACACACATATATACACAAGAAAAAATACATAGGGTTTTTATATAGGAGAGAGAATACCAAAATAATCATTTTTATTTTTATCTTTTAAATCGATTATAGGTTCTAAAGATGAAGAATAAATAAAGTCATTTGATTTGGAATCACTTTGTAAGAGTTGCATCATGATTTTAAAATATTCATTTTTGGATTTTGTTGCAATAAAAAGGGCTAAAGCATGAGATTTTTGGATTTAAAACTTAGATTAAGGGTTTAAGCCCCTTAATCTCAGCCTTTTGATTTTCTTTTAGATTTTCTTTTAACCAGTATAATATTACAAGTTTAAAACTTTTAAATTCTGTTGCAAAGAAGTTCTACCACAAAGAGGTTAATTGTATAAATTATAAATAACAACAACAACAACAACAACAATA